CACCACTGCTGCACAGAGAGCATGAGGAGCCCAACGCATGGCAAGACAACTGTGAGGTGATACTCTCAGCTCGCAACGCCATGAGAGTTGGCAGTCTCTCATGCCAACGGTGACCAGTTCACAGACAGTTGAATATGCTTCTCTCCAAAGTTGTTAATTATCGAAATGACATTGATGTGAAGAGGGCATTCCAGCCAGGTGACCTTAGTCCACTTGCTATCTCTCTGTTTTGTTTCGATTTGATTAAACCCTTTAACAATCTCCTCCCCGCCTCCCCACTTGTGTTACATCTTCTTGGCAATGGCACGATCTGATAACCATTGTTTAAATATTTAGAAGAGTAATTGTTTAAGATAATGACTTAGTGGAGTGGTGCTTCATCTATTGTCTCCTGCAATTATAATCCAATTACTGGCCAATAAAGATCCATTTGTTTCATACAGTTGAGATATTCAAAACATTGTTGTTATTTTAATCTCATACTTTCTACACTCATTTCTTGATATCAATTACCAGACATACACAGATATGATGCCTATAGTAAAACAAGAGCTATTGAAGGTAACTGTGAATATATATTTTATACAGTTTAAAAACAGTGCGTGGTTGTATAGAGCAAAACAGGAAGACAGAATACGTAGGCCTACTGGTGGATAAAAAAAAAGAAATTAAAAGGACAAACGCATGAATTTAACCACATTAAATTACAGTAGGTTTACACTTATTTCTATTTTGCAAACCCCATTAATTAACCATTAATGAAACCCTCTTCAGAAGCATTAAAAAAAACAATAACAGTTGCTAATGTAATTAAATTGGCCTGTCAAGCAGTTTGGTAGTAATAACAGGTTCCAGTGTTTTTTTGGGTGTAGTTAGGAGGACCCAGTTGCAGGACACTGATGCAGAGGTAGAGGAGTTTAACAGGTTCGTTGTAATGCTACTGTAGACTGAAGAGAGGTGAACTGGAGAGGAGGGATGGCTGGAGACGGTAGAGGTGAAATGGAGAATGGCTATGCAATGTGGCAAGCAGAGGTAGCAAAGGAGAGAAGGTTGACAAGTAGGAACACTGGCCTATCTATCAAACTATCCATCCATTATCTATAACCAGGAGGATATGTAACGTGTTATCCTACTCAGGGTCACAGGGGGGCTTGAGTCGGTCCCTGCTGACCCTGGGCAAGGGGTGGATATTTGGGTCATGTAGAGTTCACAATTAACTGTGGGAAGAAGCTTGAGAGCCTGGAGAAAACCCACGCTAACATGTAGAGCACAGGCAAATAGAATGGCCACACAGAACGGCCCAAGCCAGTGGGTTCATACCCAAAACCTTCTTGCTGTGAGCCGACAGTGTTAACCGCTACAAGCAAACAAACAAGCATAGGCAGATTTCGAGGGGTGGACACAGGGGACATGCCCCCCCTCAATATTTAGAACATGTGCATGAAAGTAGAGGGGAACTTGTATTCTGACCAAACTAAAGGCATCACTACTATAAATTGATGTTTAAAAAAAAAAGCACAAATTGGTGGGTAAAAAATGTATAAGAATGCAGCAAATTAAGTGTTTGATGCTCCAAATTTCCTTTCCACTTCATGTCTGTGTCCCCCACTGTAGAAACAGAATTCACACCCTTGCAAACAAGCATTAGTTCAGGTTACCACAATATGAGGAAAACTATTCAAGATTCCAAAGCTAGAGGCCTGAGCGTAGCTTTTACAATAGTTGAGACAACAGTCTGGTGGGAGAAGAGCCGGGGTTGATATGCAGGAGAGGTGACGAACTGATTGTAGCCAGGTGTGCTGGTAGGCAAGGTGCAGGTGAGCAGAAAGACGCAAACTGGGGACGTGGAAGAAGCGGGTAACACAGGGAAACACAAGGGACGGATAGGGGCAATGTTTGACTTTTGGTACTACATTTTTGTGCACAACTGCATTATAGATTGCACTTTTAAGGGTATGGTCCTGTATGTTAATTGACACTGGATATTTCAGCTTCACTATTAAACAAAAGTTATATTTAAGACTGTGTTTATGAGTTTAAGTGTTGCTACATTACAGAGAGCGTGCGGAATTAAAGTGCAGAAATAAGCTAAATAGCTGCATTTTTAAACACAATATTGTTGTGTAGCAGCCCTGCCTGTAGCCATGCATGACCCTGAACACAACTGAATATAACTAACAAGGCAAGTGACATCCTAAGAAATGTGCTGCGTGCATGCAAACTAGCTTTATTACATACATATTATATTTAATGAAATAATAATGCTGAATCTGATTTGTATTTTTTCAATCAGTGAGTTCTGCAAAATTAAAATTAAAAGCTAAATATAGTGTATATATATTTACATTATATTATGCTTTCACTGCTTACATTATTGATTTTTAAATTTGCATTTGGAGACAGTAAGTGCATTTATTAAGTGTCATGGACATTTAAATTTAATTTTCACTGTCTGAAATCTTAAAACTTATACGACTAGTTATTTCTGTTTTAGTGATTTAAACTTATAACGACATTATGTGTATTCTATATTACACCATAGTGACCTATTCTCTACTCAGTCTGCTTAAAGACACTTCAGTACCATCAGCTCATCTTTCAAGTACAAGCTGATAACATGGGCCACAGAGATCAGACTCTGCATAAGATAACCTGCAAGCTCAAATAAGCGCCGGCAGCTACACCCAGCATTAGTTTCCTTCCTCTCATGTCTGCTTGAAAATGACTGTGGCCCACTGAAGCCGGTGACTTCCCTGTCTCCCTGTCTCCCCAAACTCTCCGCAGCACCGACTGGTGGTGCAGAAGCACTGCTGATTAGCATGCAGTAATGATGGTGAGCTGGGCTCCATTGTTCTAACACCTCCCCTCTCCTCCGCACCAATCTGTCACCATTCAGTGGGCTAGAGCTGCCTCAAATGCTTCTCTCCACAAATGAGATGGATAATTAGTTGCCCCTCACGAATGCTGCACTCTTCTCACCCCTGATTGCTTTCACCTTCTTGCTCCTGGCAATTTTGACACCTTGTAATCAGCCTGCTACTTCTCCGTCTCAATCCATATCCCTCTCTTTTTTTTTGTCCTCTTCCATTTTTTTTATAGCTCTTAAATCTATTTCAAATGTACTGCCTCTGGTAGTAAATATCCCACAGAGAAATATGGCACATATATCTATATTCTACTGGACATTATGGCGATAGCTGAGGCTGAGAGCTAAAGTGGAATTTGAAAAACAGTTCACACTACTGTATACACAAGCAAGTACATATATACAGTGTACGGTGATACACACACAAAAAAATCCTAGCTGTCAGTGCGAGTGTCCTCTTCCAAATAACAATGAATGACAACATAATTATGAGCAAGCAGCTGTTCATGATCCCAGAGAGAAAAGCATGCAGGCTGCACAATGTTCGACTCTTCACAGATTAAGCAGAGAGGATCATTAGGGATATGTATTTGCCAAAAAAAAAAATCAGAATAAATTCTCCCCTCAGTGTCCATGATGTGATGTGAAATGTAAAATTGCGTGCTTTGTGTCACTCCAAAATAAAAATGCAGCATGCAATAATTCACCTTTGTAAATACACCAAATGACACATTTTGCATGATCACTCTTTTCCTTCACGTGGATGACGTGTTGTGTTTTAGCAAGTGCTCTTCTGTCTCAGTCTAATGACTCACTAGTTGGGAATAGTTGATGGCATTACCACATCACATTTTTTTTACACCCATCTGAGCTATTTATGAAATGCAGTGAAATGCGCAGCGCAAAATATCAGTTAAGGTTGATGTAGCAAATCAATCAGTCTATTAAGCAGTATTTGATTATGGAAAGTGAGTTATAATACCAAACACTTGTAAAGAGAGGAAAAAAGGTTGTTTTGCAGTCTTCACACCAGCTCATCTACCCAGCATAAGTGTTACCAGCCCATAGCTGAAGGGCTGCAAGGTCCTCTCTGCACAACGCAGTGTTCCAACACACACAGCGTCCCCGCTTCCTCAAACATCATCACGCTGAATGGTGAAAATCACTGCGATTGTTTGCAAAGGTGTGAATAAATACTGCCAAAGTCAAAAGCTGATGCTGCTGTTTAGAGAAGACTCAGGTTTAGTCAAATGTTAGGTACTGTACATACTGTACAAATATGTCAGTGACTGAAACATCATCTATTTCCATATTACAATAACCTGTCCTGCTCAGTGTCTTGGGCATTTTGTGAGATGGTCACATTTTCCATAAGCAATAATTATTAAATATTAGCCTGTAATGTCATATGAAACCTCTGGAATGTCTCATTTTATCACTTATAATTATTAGAGTCAAAGCATCATATAATGCTCATATGTCCATTAAAAATAAATGTGCCATCATAAATACAGTATAATATTGCCTTGTATTACTATACAAATAGCAAGGTAAGTGGGCATCTGATTTAACAATGAGCTTGTGCCTAATGGCATGTGTTGCCATCTGTGTAGATAATTTTAATGAATGCGTGGCATGCTGCCTATCAAAATGATTTCAAAGTTGGAAATATTTCCAACTCCGCATCAAGAATGACATACAGATGTTTCAGATTTCCCTGGTTGAAGCACACAACACAGACAAACGAAGGGAATATAGTGCTAGGTAAAATAGTGCTAATCAACATGTCAACAGCTCTGGAAAGGATGGGCTACCGTTTGAGTGATTTGATGCATATTGTCATTTGTAATACGTGACATATTGTTGTTCTGTGAGATATAAAATCTGGCTGCTGACGTGAAAAGGAAGAAAAGGTGTCTTGTTTCAAAAGAAATGACTGCAAATTTCTGTTTACAAAGTGAATTGTGATTCTTCTAAGAGGAAATTTTAACAGGTTATTACTGCAAATTATGTTTAAACATGTTGCAGAGAGAATGATAATAAATCCACCATATGTTTTTATGTATGGATGCACTTAGAGTACCCTAACTGGTTTTATATTTGCGTGTTGAAAACGATTCAAATGATAAAAAAGTAAAGAGTAAATGTCGGCTTTATTTGCTCATATATACCATAATATGCATCGTCATCACTTAGTACTAGAGTAAAATCTCAGCGTGATATTAGAAAAATATATTGGGCAAGAAAGTGTACCATTCAATTCTTCAATATTAAATAAATGGATTCAAGTCTTATTGCAGTGTCATTTCAAATCCAGTACAGCGCATGTTCTTCACGGCAGGCAGGACTACACCACGAATTCAGTAAGTCTTGGAGTAGTTGTGGCCTTGGGCCCGTCAGTCTCTGTATCCACTGTCAGTTGTCGGCTTCATTCTTAGGGGAGAAATGCGAGTAGAGGTGGCTGTTCATTCGGTCCTGAGGAACCACAGCGTGGCAGAAAGCACATTTATCAGGGCTGCTGCTCTGAGACGTCGCCAGCTCTGTCCTCACATCAACTGCATCACACAGCTCAGGGCTCCAGAGAGGCTGCAGAGCAGGGTGAACCAAAGAAAACAATATATTATTCATGCTCTTAACAAGCCTCACACTCACTTTATTAAAGCATGCAGGAGCGCTTGGCCTTCAAGTTGAAGTATCTGTTGCTTTAAGGAGGACAAGAACATATCAACCCAATAGTCTGCACAAATGCTGCAGCAACAGTAAAGGCAAAAGGCTATTCTCAAGTGTTTAATTATCTTACTATTTATGTGTTCAACCACACCATCAAACCAGCCTTGCCTATAATAAACACCCGTGTTGATGTAATCCAGGGAAAGAATCATATTATGAAAAACTGGACCAACTTTAAGATCTTACTGCATGTCATTCACAATTTCTTTATTAGGCATTTACACACATCAGCAAATAAAATCCCACTTAACCATCATACTTGTTTCATCAGATTCAGACACTGTAATGTGCTTCCATCTGGCTCACACTTTGCAGCAAAGATGCCAAATATAACCAGAGCATCCATGCTTAAGTAAAAAAAGAATCAGCACACATTACACAGTAATACGTTTCAAGTTAAGCCAAGGGGATTTTTTTTTTTTTTTGGACTTCACACTGTTTCACTCCTCCATTAGCAAAGACCAATCAGAGACTGATAATTTGCTACTAGTTTTCTCAGACCTTCTCTTGTGATTCTCACCTGCTGGGGTCCCCGCACGCTCTCCTGGGAGAGCGAAGAAGATGTTGAGAGGGAGGGGGATGGAGGGTAGACAAAAGGCATGGGCAGTTCCACGGGCTCCTCTTCCACGGTCAGCGTGGAGGGGACGTTGCTGAGAGGCCGCTTCGTGGGCATGGTCGGACCAATGTGTCTCTCCGGAGCACTGTTCAGGAAGTCATATTCACTGTCCGCAGAGGGCGGGAATTTGACACTGAGTTTGGTGAGAGAGTCTACTAAGTCCCTGTCCTCGGGGCTGGCGCCTCGGGACGCCAGGGACGTGGGCGGGAGTGGGATATCCACTGCTGACCTTGGCGCTGCTGAAAAGGGTCTCTCTGCCTCTGCTGTACGGTCTGTGCACTGGATGGGCATGGAGAACCGCTGATCTGTCAGACGGCAGAAAAACATGAGATTTTACACAGTTCTTCTGTCTCGGTCGACATGTTGACATATTCCAGCTCTGCCTTCAATGACATTTGAGCTTGGCAACGACTGCAGAAGTTGCATACATGAAGATATAACCCTCCTTTACATATATATATATATATATATACACACACACTCTCTATATATAAACTGTATATATACACTCTGTCGCTCTGTATATGCGTGTGTGTGTGTATATATATATATATATATACACACACATATATTCAGAGTGTTGGGGAGTAACTAGGTGTAACTAACATATATAATTAAATGAACGTAACAGTGTCATTACGGTTACTGAGACAAACCTAAAATTAAATCACACTACAAATCAAAATGTTGCTGATTACAAACTGTAATCTAGAGGACTGTGTCTTAATGTGTGCAATTTCTCAAAATAACACATTCAGATTTGACCCCTTTGTAATAAAAAAGGGGTTATACTCTTTTCAGTAACAAGCTTATATGTAGAATATAATAATTATTCTGTTGCTGTGCATCTTTTCGCCACTCAGGAACACCGTCTTTTGGCATATTTCTGGACAACGTGGGTCAGCGGTGCCGCTGGGACAAATTAGAGTGCAACACTTATAAACTTATGTTTTAAGGCTTTTTGACTTTTGGCCCAGTTTAAAATATTTGTTAGAGGAGTTATCAAAAAGTAATCAAATGTCATACGTTATAGTACTTCAGTTAAATAATTAAAATAGTTACATTAGTTAGTACATTTTTAACAGGGTAACTGGTAATCTGTAACCTGTTACATATCAAATGCAACCTTCCCATTATTTTACACACACACACACATACATACATACATACATACATATACATATATATATATATATATACACACACACACACACACACAGAGTGTATATATATATATATGTATACATTCCACTATATATTAATTACTGTATAATTATGTATTTATTATTCATCATACATGTAGCATGCAGAGCCATCATCATGCATCTGTCAGTGGACTTGTTAAATGTATTTATCGACCATTTTTTCAAACAGAGGTGGCCAGCCACGGTTCGAAAGGGCAACGAGGCATTCGTGTACGTCCTAGTTAAGGTGTTGCTGTGTAATTATCTCAAAGAACAACGCAAAAGCATGTTAACTCATACCTTGTCATGACATACACAAACCTATTTCAATTTAGCACATTTTCTTTTAAGTAATTGAATTAAGAAAACAAGTGGATTTAGGTTGAGGCCATAAAAAAAATTTAAAAAATAAAAATGGCAGGTAATATTTAGTAAATATTATCATTACCATTTGATGCATCATTTCCTCCTTGGAATCTTTTTAGGTGATCTTTTTGTCTTCGGGTGAGAGAGCGAATCTGCTGGAATTTCCCTTGAATTGCTGCGAATGCATCCAGCATGTCCTGACTGACAAACACATAAATAAAGAGTGAGGGGAGAAAAACCATCTTTAACTATAACATATATGATTTTCATTAAAAAAATAAAGGTGCAAAGAGAGACACATACTAGTCAACGCTGCTGCTGACTGGCATGTTGGGAGGAACAGCAACAGTGCCCATATTCTCCTGCAAAAAGACACATTACATTTACAGTGATCATCAGCAACAATTACCCAAAGGCATATTGTTAATGCATCTGCAGTTTGATTTGCACATCACAAATTTACATTTACCAGTGGAAAAAAATGTTTCCTGGCCTGCTCAGTAATGAACAATAAAACTCAAGCTGCTGAACTGTGCAGGCGATATTATCCTCTAGCACCATCTGGTGAAGTAAAAGTGGATACACCTTGTGTGGAGTAAAACAGAGGGTGGACACTATTACAGCAGCATGAAATCTTGGGCTTCCTCGATTGTTTGAATCTTTGGAGAATAAATAAATGGGATATGGGCATTCCCTTCCTATCAAACAAATGACTGAACAAGCACAGGATATGGATTGACTAACATATAATTATCTGTAAACTGCTTTAGAGCTGGGCAAACAAGGGTTAGAAACACTGAAAAAACTAAATATTTGAAGACTGACCAACTTAAATGATAACACTGAGACCTTACAGATACAAAAGCAGCCCTCAAAAGACGTCAGACAGCAGGAAACACATGTGGATCGTCCATTTTTTGAGCCTCACAGTTACTGCTACATTAACTTCCCATTGGTTGACTGTACATCCTTGTTGTCACAAGTACAACAACATCCAGCAGAAGTACTATCAACATGTGTTTGCATGTGAGAGGAAGTTGTATATGTATGCTCATGCATATTTTCAAGCTTTAGAACGAAGAAGAACCAGTTTCGGAGCATTCATATTGCAGTTTTCACATAGAAAGACCACGCTGTTGCACAGCAAACATACCGGGTACTGCATTATCCTATAGGCGCTGGCCCCATCGAGGAGATGGTTGCAAGGCTCACATTTCATCTCTGCTTAGAATACAAAAAAAAGGGAAATTAACACTATGAACAGGAGGCAATGCTGGATGAAACAGCTTCTGTGAAATGTATGACAATCCGGTATCAATGCCCAGAATGCAATGCAGTAGAAGAGTAAATGATCTTGTCGGCATATGAACAGAGAGAGAGATCATCTGGCACGTCTCACTGACCTGATGGTTGTCTCGTTGCTGATAACTTAGCTTCAAGTTTTGATATCAACTGCTGCTGGTCCTCTATCTGCTTCTGAAGCTTTTGAGTGTATCGCTCGTAATATTCACTCTGTAAAAATGAGGTTATATTTTCTTTTTAGCACCAATATCTGCAATCTGGCCAATAACTAATAATCATGTCTTCTTGTATGTGACTGCCAATAAAATTAAAACAAGTAAACACACTTAACAAGCTACTGTGTGACTTTAAAATTTGCTATACTAGTAATGTTTGGCTCATTTCACATCAAAGTTTGAGCAAGTTTTGCTGCTTGTGCCGTTACCATTTGCTGCAGCTCCTTTTTAGCATTGTCCTTTTCGATGGAGACCTGGCGATAAGCTTCGAAAGCTTTATTGAGCTGGTCTCCGATGTTCCTTTCCATGCCGTGTGCTCCACAATCATCCCTGACGCAGCAGACATGAGCCCTATGAGTGAGAGCACAACTTGTATTAATATCAATTAACTGTAAAAAATAAAATGCACTGCCAAAGACTGCACTTTTATATGACTGGTGAAAAAAACATGGAGTTAGGGAGCCTTTTTTGGTTGTTTTATGTCCCTACACATAACGGTGTGTAAGTTTCTGACACACTTCCTAGTCTCTGTTTATAAGGAAGATTATTTTCACTTCCAGTGGAATATCAGTGTACATGCAAAAGCAAAACTTTGTCCACTTTTCAACAATCAAAGCCTTGTTCTAGTTCTGTAAATGATGAGCAACAGAGCCATTGAAAAGCAATGAAAGCTTGCACAACTAGTTCAGCACCCCTGACCTGAACAAACTTTACATTTTTGCCTGCTCTCCTCCAGTGTCAACTTTCACACAACTTTCCTGGGACAACTGCAGCCCCGTACTTACTGCTGTAGTGTTTAACAAGGACGTGTTGAGGTGATGCAAACAAGAGAGAGGTTGGTGCCAGTCTCACCCAAAGCTGCTCATCAATTATGGATCAATATTCATTATGAATGCCACAGCAACACACTACCTGTCACACCAGCTGCTCCTGGGTGAAGCCACGGTAATGAGATTACCAGTAACGCCGGAGCCCACCGAGGCTCAACAGGGAAGCACTTTACAGAGACATTTAAAGCCTAATCCATACAGTTCCGTATTCCTTAAACCGTAAGTGACCGGTTAGCTATAACTCATTCAACCGGTGGCGGATGAAGCGACCGAGCAGCGACTCCACAGCTCAGTTTCCCTCGCTGCCAGTGAGTGTGTGTCCTCTTACCTTCATTCGTGTCACTCTTAAAGTCGAATTTATTGTTTTGACACCACCGCAGCGTCGTCGCCTAATCTTCAGATGCAAAGTTACGAAGCGCAGGAGAGGATATGGCAATGTATGTTTTACATAGCCTGGTTGAGTTGGGAACTTCCCTCGGGGAATCCCCCTGCTCTGTAGACTTCCGCCTTTACGCGCTCGTGGCCAATCAGCGCCGAGCTCAGAGGAGAGCTGGGTGGTTAGCTGGTTGAGGGTTCTTCCAGCCTACGCGTCTGCAAACCGACTGTTGTGCATGTGAAAACTGTCCCCAAACTGGTGTTACACTGTGCTCATTTTACTCTCCAACATTCTGTCGTGCATTAAACCTTCAGCAAGTTCTGTTGAAAGTATTGAGCTTGTCTGATCAGCAAGCATGGCCGGATTAACCTGTTAGGGGGGCCACGGGCAAGAAAAATTAGCTGTTGGGCCCCTGTCTGTGTATCTCCTTTGAGCATCACTCTGTTTAGGCATATGCACCATATGAGCACAAATTAAGATCATAATGCCTTGTCAGCTTGGTTGCAATTGCCAACAGTAAAGCAAAACGTTGTAAGTGCGGTTGCACATGGCCTTGTGAGTGACTTAGATCGCCACCTTGGACATACACCTTTGTTTGAAGAAGCTAAATGACAAACAAGAATGTGAGTGAATGCAAAACAATGCCATTTGCCATGTCCTTAAAAAGGCAAAGCCATCTCAGTGTAACCGCCTCACCCTTTTTCCCCTTCAAGGGCCCTGGCCCTGTGGGGGTGTGTCGTGTGCTTTGTTGTTTGTATATGGAGAGAAGGTGGTGGTGTCATGGGGAAGAAGGCAGGCGACAAAGAGTGATGATAGTCAGCAGAATTAAGTGTCTCGAGAGAAGGTCATGCTTGTTGTTTTGTGGCGGAGGCTGCAATGGCCATCTTTCCTTCTGCAGAGTGGTCCGAAACCGCTAGAAGCTATGGTTCAGAGCTGGTAAGCTGTCACTGAGGGAGGTTATGTTTTTTATTTTGAAAACAAGTTAGTAGAAATCTACAACAAAATGATATGCTTATTCTACATAAACTATAAAATCTATGAATAAACTATAAAAGCAATTCAATTAAATGATCTTTCTTACAATTGTGATTGTTGGGTAATATGTATGTTGATGTTGTCCAATGTCACGTCTCTATTTCATCATGTCACAAGACATAGCGTGCACTATAGGACCCATCATAATAGCATGCATTGCCATTTACAGAAGCTCTATGCACTGTTTTTCAAACCATTTAAGATAACAGAATGGCCCAAAAAATTGTACAGTACTCGGGGAAAAAAAGAATAATTGCTAAAGAAAAGAAAATCACCTTGTAGAGCAGAGCCTATATCCTGTTTTGTATCTCGTTGTTGTCCAACTGTCGTCATCATTGTGAAACCACAACACAACAAATGTTGAGGATGACTAACTTTCACTCCTGCCACCTAAAAGGAGACAAAAAAATATCTGATGTTACTATTTTTAAATTACGTAGCATAAGTAGGGTAGAAATATGGCATAAACTAAACCAAGTGAAACCTACTGGTGAGTTAAAACCTGCTAAATCTTATTCTGAACAGCAAAACTTGAAACATATTTTGCTATGTTGGAGTTGTGTTTGCAGAATTAATGTTTAGCTGACAAATTAGTGTCATTGAAATCCATGCCACAATCATTTGGGCTGCTCTAAATACAAATCAAAGATTCCCAACAATGCAAAGTAAATGTGCCAACATATATAAGCCAACAGATCATTTATTTAATTATATTAGATTTCTTTGGACAATAGTGTAGTTGGATAAACAACATAGGTATCTGCCTTTGGACATTGCACTTTAGTCATTCAAATTATAGCAACAAATGTGTAATTAAATTAAATTAAATTAAATTACAAAAAATAATAGATATGCAGTGATTATAGGGCTTTAGGGGACTGAGAAGTTGCCCACTTAGCCTGGTTGGTGACAGGCAATTCAAAGTGCTTTACACATGACATAAAAGACATAACAAACAATACATATAACCTGGATAACCAACAGGGCAAGCTGGGCACCTGCCACATGGGCACCAGACCTCCAGAGGCCTCAGACGGCCCTGGTTTACTGTGTGTCAGTTGATTTTCGGTAATTAGATTTGTTGAACATTTGCACAACTACAGTACAATATTGAAAATTGGAGGCCTCTGTGTGTTTTGTTTTTTTTTAACCTTGAATAGGCTTGTAAGAAACCGAGGTATAGTATATAAGTATGTAAATCCTTAACTCACATACTGACATAATTTTTAACTAGCCTGTATACTACAACAGCATAATAAAATATCTGAATGTCAATTATGGCTTCTGGTTTCAGTGTGCCAACAGAAGATTTTCAGTGGCCCGTTCTGGCCAGCCCAATTTCTGGGGGCGCCACTGTGTAAAACACAATGAAACTGCCATCTGTAGTGTGCTGTATATTGTATTTAGTGGTAGCTTGGAGGCAACAGGAGCCTAACAAAACATTTTGTTCTGTCTTTTTTTTCTTAATAAAAGCATGTACTGTTGTTGCCCCTAAACATTGGAGTATCAATCTTTCATTTCCAACTGAAAAAAAATAGTCACACATATTTTCTCACTTTTCATAATTGGTGTTATGCTTTTTTTAATGCTGGTTTTCTGTTTTGGAAATATCTGAGTATAAAAGTAAAAATCTCATTGAGTGCTTGGTTATAATTAAGGACTTTTTCCACAGACATTCTATCATAGGAAAAGCCCAAGTGTAAATAATACAATAAATATGGTATGATGGTAATTTTATGAGTAGCACCTGATGTTATTAGTATGCTTTTCCTACTAAGATACCTCAGCTAAACTGTTTTTAAAACACTTCTCATGACTGACTAATATTCCTTTGCTTTTCTTGACTAATATTTGACCTATCATTTCTGTGTGACATATCCGACCACCTGAAAAAAAACAAGCTCAGTATGAGCAGGCAGCAGAAATGTCAGTGTGTACTGAATGTACAGGTCTTCATCACAGCAACAGTGTAAGAACTATCAACACTGTAAGTCTGTGAAAACAAGTTAGTTTTTAATTAGTTGCAGATGTATAAATGACACTTATCATGAATGAGAGGACCTGCATCACTCCAATGCATGTGTAGAATTAATAAAAAATCTCTCCCACAGTCCACAGTCCCACATTACTCTTTAAAAATCACCACATTACCAGTATCTAGATGTGTGCCTTCCTGAGTTATGGTGCCCTCTTGTGATGTTCACAGCTTAAAAAAGTCATTTGTGGCCACAATTTTAGACCACATACGATCAGGTTCTTATGCTGCGGCAAAAATTGAGTAATATATAATACACTACCCTGACGCACCTATTAAAACCTTTACAAGGCCTAACCTATGATATCCCTAATGAGGAAGAACAAACTGCTATATTAACCCTTTTACCTCTAATGTAGGGTAGTTGGGTGACTGTTTTTGTTTTGGTACATTCTTTATAATTATTTTGAAACCCAACATCCTAAAGTAAGGGGGAATGTCTGTGTGCTTTCTTGGAACTACGTTAGTAACTTTCCTTTTCATCATGAACCCACATTTAGTGAGTGATGATGCAATACTCTGACCTGGTGACATACTGGCAATCCCCTTCCTTTTCCTATACAACTCATGCTTCTAAATCTCATTGGACTTCCATTGTTGTATATGTAGAGGCATTTCTGCTCATGAATTAAGTTTATAAATCTGGCCCCGTGTCCCAGACTGCTTTGAGTGCCATAGTGAAAACTCCTTCCCCGGCAAAGGCAACTCAAGGAATAGTAGCAGCATTAAAAGAATAACCAGTAGATGGCAGCTTAGAGTGACTTATTGAGATGCAGTGTCCTCTATATTTCTTTACAGTGATTTCAACCTTATGTTACTGAGGATTATTATATATAGCTATATAACCAAGTATCACAGATCATTTTTATTGTCAGTTTTGTTTGATCATGTGGAGTGTCAGGCTGGTAGCAGTGTCAAATCAAAAAGCAGACCCCACATGTGCTGATATCTACTATTTCCATGATTTATTTTTCCAAATGTGCATAAAGTTGGTAGTAAAAGTGCATGAGCTAAGCTTATAAGGTCAATAGGCTTTTTAAAATACTACCATAATACACTGGTACAAATACCTTTCATCAGTATTAGGCCTACTCAAAATAGCAATAGGGGTATCCTTAGGGGTACTTTTGAGTACTGCACAGGGTATATGACGTTTTTTAATGTAAAATTTGAAAAATATCGGTCATGAATACTTCCTAAAATAATTATGTGAAAATATGTTTAATGAAACATGTAAATGTAAGTTTGATAAACCCCATGTTACATTTAATATTCTCAACTGCTGCAACAACTCGATCATGTTTAAGTTTGCTCACTGTGTGTTTTCTACCAAATATGTTTTGTAGTGGTCAAGGAGTTTGAGAAAAAGAGTTTGAGAACCACTGCCTTACACCCAAGACACACTGAGCAGCAGCTAAGTGCGGCCTCCGGCAAGCTGCCATGCGATGGCTATGGAAAGCTGCAGCCATTTGAGGCCATGTGTGACCAAACTATAAGCTGGGAATAGTTTAACTTTTAGCAGCAAATTGCAGCCAGAGAACACCTGCAGCCAGTCAAGAAACAGAGTCCTGTGAATCTCAGGCTGACCTATGATACAAAGAATTTCTTCCCTCCTGAAACACATGACGTCACCTCCTCATATGATGTGTTAGCCACACTTCGCCAACGCTTGGTGTATTTTTGCCGTTAAAGGCCCTTTAATATCTGAGGATGTGGCAATGCCTTTTCCTCCAGAAGTCTCAAGTCACAAGTCAGTATTTTTGTTATAATGATTCACTGCAGATGGTAACAGTTCATCATGAGTAAGATATCCAATCATGGCTCAACTTGCTTCAGATTTTTTTTTAATATATCACACAGCTGTTAATGTCCCCGCCAGGAGGCACAGATGCTGGAATTTCTGATTGACAAATTAATGTCTTATCTACAAAAGAAACTGGGGTATCTCATTTTGTGCTTAGAGGGAAACAGTGTTCAGCCATTTATATTTTTGAAATCAACCAGTATTAACAGCTTAAATGAACATGCCAACCTTTTATTTTTGTT